CCTTCTGCAGGATTTGGTACCCCGTGATGGCTTGGGGTGCTCCAGGTGAGACTGGACGGGGCAGCTAGGGAAAGGAATTTCCTTATGGACAGACAGAGCAAAGGGGGCACAGCCTGGCAGAGAGGGCAGGAGAGCGTCCAGGGCAGTGAACAGGAACGGGGAGGCCAAGGGACGGGATGCAGGGAAGTGCAGCAGACAAGGTGTACAGGGCTGGCTGGGGGTTTGGGATTGCCTGGGGACAGACAGAGGGACCCACAGCAAGCATGCCAAGTGCTGGACTTGTTTGGGGGGGAATCTCCATCTCCAGGTACCTCTTCCCTCTCTCCCAGGCCAACAAGTGCCCCAGAGTGCAGCTTCCCCAGGGAGGTGAGCCAGGGCTCCAGGGCACCCCTGGGCACTCCCAGAGCAGTATTGGTGCCTGGCACCAAGGAACCCGCCTAGTGATTACAGGACTGCAAACAGGACAGGGGGAGGAGAGAGGAACAGCACAGGCCAGAGACAGGGGAGCAGGGGAGCAGGGTGGTGAGGTGGTGGGAAGGGTGTTGGGGGTGCAGGAAAGAAGGAGAAGGGGGCCAGCATCCCACCCCCCGTGGCAGCGTAGGGGGAGCCAGTCATACCTTGGATCTTCTCAGGGCCGTAGGAGAACACAAACTCCACCTTCCCGTACTCAGGGAAGCGGTCATCTGGGTGGGAGAGAGCAGAGCAAGGGGACCGTCTCCGTCTGTCCCTCTGACAGCATTTGCACAATCACCCCAAATGCATCCAGAGCACAGGGCACCTGCCCCGGCCAGTTCAAGAACGGGGAGCTGGTGTGAGATATCCTGGCATGGGGCAGTGCCCCAGCCTTCCACAGCCAAGAGCTGGGCAGCATACAGACCCCGGAGATACCAGCATGGAGCATCTCAGCTCAGAAACAACCAAAAGGCAACCCCTCCTCATCAGTACCAGATCTGAGCAATAAAGAGGACGATGCCATCATCTGTCCCCAACTGGCACCACACCCTGTGGAGTAGGAGCGTGTCCTGGTTCATCTCTACCATGCCAGTGCAAAGAGGTAACACTTGCCCATCACCAAAGCTATGGTGCATCCCTGACCCTGGTGCATCCCCTAGCAGGGCTGGTGTTTCCTGGCTCTGTGAGCTGTACTGGAGAGGAGTTGGGGTTGAATTCCTCATCCACGGGTGCCCAGACATCCCAGCAGCAGGAGCAGCGTCAGAGCCGCAGGAGGAGCACAAAACTGGGAGAAAGGAGTTTACAGGAGGAAGAAGCTGCAGAGACGGGCATGGTTACCTCTAAATGCTTCATCCAGATCCTCCTTGCCAAAGACGATGTCAAGGTCGTGCACAGCGCATGTGTGGAACTGCACACGGAAAATCACGTCGCGGGTCGGACTGCGAAACTTCTTGTGGTAGCATTTCAGCTGTGGAGAGGAGCAGGGACAGGCCGTGAAGACTCACTAACCCCTACTAGCCCTCAGGGCTAGGCAGAAGGGGAGCCTCGGGACCTCCAAGTAGAACCAGGATGCTCCAAGCCCTGAGGCCCCCTGGTCCCCCAGCTGCCTGGGACTCCCTGCACGGGAAGCTGGGCTGGGGATGAGGCTCCTTACCAAGATATCACCCTTGAGGAGTAGGCCGGGCTCAATGGTGATGCAGATGCCCGTCTGGCTGTCTCCTTGCACATTGCTGTGGAGAGGGACAGCAGGAGGACATGAGCCATGGTGCAGAGACCCAGCGGGCAGCGGGGAGGAGCCACGGCTGGAAATGGGAAAGCTCCCCCATAGCACCCATCACTGCCTCCACTGGCCCTTTGCACCCAAAAGCAGCCAGGAAAGGCCCTCAGGAAAGGCTCAAAGCACGGAGCTGGCTTTCCCAGTGATACAGGAACCACCCCAACCCAAGGGGCACCCCAATCCCAGGGAGGAGGCAGACAAGAGAGAGAAACCGAGGCAGAGAGACAGCTCAACAAGGGTGCCAAAATCCTGGGTCGGAGGGTTTGACTGGGGTCTGACCACCAGGGCTGGGTTATCATGCCAGCCATCTTGCTCCCACATTTTAAGTGGGACAGGGGATAGGGAGGGCAAGGTCTCAGGGGAGGGGCTCTTCCCTGCCTCAGTTTCCCTGCTGAAAGCACTCCTCTCCCCAACGTGCCGGGGAGTTGCCTGTGAACGGTGGCGTCAGCGTCTGGCAATCGGGGACAAGCACGGGGGACGAGGGAAGAAGGGAGTTGGATTTCACAGGCAAGATAAACCTGGAGTTTATTACCAGCGTCCCATAAACAGTCTATTAAAAGCTGGAAGGCGAGGCCGGGATGGCAGTAAATCTCGGCTAACGGGGACGCCCAGCCGGCCGGGAAGGGAGTTCCCACTTCAGGGGGGTGCAACAGGAATACCCCAAAGATGAGGGGCTTTGCTCCCCCCCAAGAGGGCTCAGCTACAGGCTGGACATGGGGCCAGGAGCCAGGGGGACCCAGGCTGGGACACGGCCCTGGCACTGTGTCTGAAGAAATCGGCTCCTGCTTTGCCTTCGACAGCACTCACTCCCAGGGTCCCCAGTACTGGCAGGGCCAGGGAGACCCCAGTGGGGGTCCAAACCCAGTCCAGGGTGTTCACGTTGGAGAATGATGTCAGAGTTAATTGTGGGGAGGTTAAATTGGAGGGGACCCTTTTTTAAGGAAAACAAGACAATTTAGAGGGGCTCTGGGGAACATGCTCTTCACAACCCTTTCTCCCCATTTTTCTCCGTAACTCAAGGGATGGGGGCACAGACTGGGGGGGGGGCAGACAGGGTTTTAGCCCTATAGCGTACATGGGGGTACCCTGGGGAGGGAGAAGCAGCACAGGGAAAGCGTGTCTCAGGAGAGAGTGTTTGTGTCCGTGACGGGGCAGGGAGACAAGGGTTTTAAGGACCGATCAAAGCTCTCCTGGCAGAAGAAGCAGCTCTTTGGCCAGAGAGAAGAGAAACACCTCCATCCCCAAGGGAAGGAGAGGTGTCCCTCGTCCCCTGCTCCCTGCCTGGGACAACCAGCCCCAGGCTCTGTGCAGCCCCGGGCTCCCTCTGCCGATACACAGAGTCACTACAGCCCTCCCAGTGGGAGGGCCCAGTCCAGTCCAGTATAGCCCAGCACGGCCAGTCATCACCTCCAAAGAAGGGGAAGCCTCAGTTCCCACCAGCCCTGGCACAAACGGACAGAGCACAGGGCAGTGGGATAACCGGGGACTTGGCCTTGAATCTCACCATCTCCCCCCTCATAAAAGCCCCCGTGAGCTGGGCGAGGAGGGTAGCACCCTGGGACCCCATGCAGAGAGGAGAGAGAGGAGATAGTTACTAGATCCCCGAGGTGTAGACGGGCTGCATGGCCTGGTAGATTTTCAGGAAGGGCCGACAACCTGGAAGACATCAATGAAGGGAGAGAAGGCGCCTTGTTAGCCGGCAAGGCGGAGGGGCCAGGGCAGGGATTAGTCACGGGGTAGAAATCCAAACAGCGCAGGAGCCAAGACAAACAGCCGCTCCCCGCCTCGGCCAGGCAGCATCTGCGAGGGAGCCAGCTGCAGGCAACATCTGGGACAGCAACGGGGAGGTGAAATGGGCCGAAAGGGATGCTCCCCAGCCGGACAGGGCTGGGAGTCAGGGGGAAAGGGGGAAGGCAGGACCCCTTGCAGCCCAGCTGGGTCCTATAAGACCTGTGCCAAATGCTGGACTGGTGATGGAGGCAGATGGAGCCTGCTTGGTCCCTGAACTAGGGACCCTTTATCAGTGCCCTGGTGGGAAGTGGCAGCAGGCAGGGCACTGCATCCCCAGGCTAAACCCCAGTCTGGTCCCGTCCTCTGGAAAGCTATCAGAAAAGCCTCCTCGCCCTGCAGCTCAGACTGCTGCCCAGCACTGAGAGCTCCTGCATAAGAGGAGCACCCCGAGGGGAAGGCATCTCTGCGGGAAAAGGCTAAGGCCCTGCTACCAGGAGTAAGCAGTCCTAGAGATGGAAAGGGAGGAAAGAATTCAAATTGCACAGGAAATCGTGGGGAAAAAAAACCTCTTAGCAAACAAGCAGTCCAGCAGCATGGGGCCATGGTTAGGACACGGGAGCTAGGGTGGAGGGAGGGCTTGGGGGCACCTACCGCCTTTCGACTCGAAGTTGGGGATGCCGTGCATGATGACATGGTGGAGGAAGAGAGGTTTGTTGTTCATCTTGATAGTGCCAGACAGGAGGCCGCTGAAGTAATGGATGTACCTAGAGTGGGGACAGATAGGTCAGGGCAGGACCCACAGTGGAGCAGCCCCATCAGCTTGCACCCAACTGCCCCGCGGAGCCCCTGCTACACCTTGGCCAAGGGGACAAAACCCAGGCTGCGATGCACGCTGGGACCCACCTCTTCTGCGAGGGCTGTCCCACCGGCACCACTTTGTCCTCGTAGAAGCGCTTCATGGCAAACCTGTCCAGAGCCTGGTCCGCACTGCGGGAATGAAAGAGCATGTGAAGGGAAGGAAGCCCTTGGCACCCAACATCACCTCGACACAGCACCGGCAGGGGCTGCAGAAGACTCGGAGGGGGCTGAAGTGCAGCAGTGGGCTGCGGGGAGAGATGCAGCCCCGGGGGCCCCTCTCACCTGGCCGATATGTTGCTGTAGTGCATGTAGGCAGCCACGACCACCCCCAGCCGTCCGCGGTTCCCCTGCGGGCACACAGTAAAGGGACGTCACAGGGGCAGCGACGCGTATGAGCACTCAGGCCTGGCTGCCCTGCACGTAGGTGTGCGTGCACACGCCAGGCCTTGCACACTGTGCCCGCTGCGCACATGGTAACTCCTATAGGCACACACCACGCACGTGCCAGCCCATACCTATACACACACACACACACCCCCTATACAAACACCGCATACATGCCGACCCTCCTGCATACGTCACACCAACCCTTTCCATATACATCAGACGTACGCTATGCACCTAACAACCCCGCAGACACCCTGAGCCACAGGCACCCCAACCCATATTCGCACACCATGCCACACACACACCCTGACCCCTATACACACACACCCATTCACAGGTGCACCCCGACCCCTACATGCACACACCAAAGCCACACTCACACCCCAGACCAAGCAGAGCCCCTGGAGCTGCAAAGGCGGCTGCTCCTCCCCGTCCCCGCGGCCCCTTGATCCCCACGCACTCCCGGCTCCCCATCATCATGCGTCCCTGGGACAGGGCCCGGCCCACCTTGTTGTGCAGCACCACCACGTTGTGAGCCGCCGCGTTGAGCCACGTGTCCATGGCTTTGCAAATACTGCAGATTTTCTCCAGCGCAGGAGTATGCAGGTCTGGCCACCCGAAATCCAGCACCTGAACAGAAAGGGGAGCAGCGGGAGTGGAGGGTCATATCCATGCCTCATTCTGCCCCCTCTACAGCCCCCCTGCCTGGTGGTGTGCAAAGCCCAGAGCATGTATCCACGGTGGGCAAAGCGTGGCAATGCCACCATATTGCCCTGAAATGCCCCTCCAAGCCTCTCTACCTGGCCTGAACCTCACTGCCCACACCCCAGCCCTTGGCGAGGAGGTCTGTTGGGAGGGGTCTAGATCTCAGCCCCCTTTGGGTCGCTCACAGCTTGGCTACCCCGGGCTCCCCCATATTCGCCTGGACGGGGATGATACTTCAGGGGGAATCGAGGGGAAGTCAGCAGGAGGCCCCAACAGCTGGGTGTGGGCCAATGGGTGTTGAGCTGAGACCTGGCAAACTCATTGGGAAGTCCCATGCTTCCTCTCCTGAACAGCTTACAACAAGGAGAAGAGCCCAGAGTCAGCCCTCCTTTCCCTGCCCCGAGCTCCCCAAGTCTCCTGCCAGCCCCTCTGCTCCCCACAAGCGTGACCAACCTTCGGGTGAAGTTTGTTGATGTCATGTCTCCGCTCGGAGAGATTGAAAAGCTGTGGGGAAGAGGAAAGGCAGTGTCAGGGGAAACCTTCCTCCCCCTGCCATTGCCGCACTTCCACCTCTTCCTCACCCTGAGGCCTCCCCAAATCCCCCCACAAGAGGCTTCCTGGGATGTGTTAATGTGGGGAACGCCTTGCCATGGGGCATCACAACAGCCAAAAATTCCCATGGAGTTCAAAACAGACTGGAAAACTTCAAGGAAGAAAAATGCATCTGTGCTGGTCCAAAGATGCCCCTCTTCAGCTCAGAGAACCAGAGTCGAGACAAGCAGGAGGTGAAGACGTGGGTTCCCAGCCCCTGCAGCACCCTGTCCCCGGGCCGGAGGGCCCCAGGCCCCTCCCCAGCCTCGCCAGAGCCAGCTGTGCCCCTCACCACGTAGCTGTCCCCGTGCTTGGATCTCAGCATGTGGGCCACCTCGCGGAGGTTGCTGCGGAAGTTGTGCTCCTCGGCCGTGCTGGGGTAGGAGACGGCGATGATCCGCTCCGTGATGTACACCAGGTCCAGCTCGCAGCTGCTCTCCATGGCTGCAGTCACGCTCATGCTCCTGCGCAAGAGAGGTGGCCACGATCAGGACGCAGCGTGGAGGAGGGGACACAGGTGACCATCCCAACCCTGCACAGCTCTTGGGGTTAAGTGACACAGGCTGGGACATGTCGGGAGGCAGTGGCAGGGCATGGCTGCCCGCAGTCTTTCCCCTGTTCCAAGGGCAGGCTGCAAACGGCTTTGCCCTGGCTTCGGAGAACGACCCTGCCTCGAGACGGCCCTGTCGGGGTGCAGCTACGGGGACCCAAGGTTGGGGACAGGGTATCAGCAGCCCATCTGGCACATCTGGAAAAGAGAAATATCAGGTGGAGGCAGGTAGGGCAGAGTCTGACACCAGTGGGGGAAAATGAGGCACAGAAGCCTCCTACCTGCAGCAGAGCTGAGTACAAGCCACCCCGGGTGCAGCACCCCTAGCCAGCAGGTAACACTGCTCCCGCCACACGCTCCCGTCCCCACGTGGTTCACCGGGTCCCCTGCGGCAGGAAAGCCCTCTCCAGAGGGTCTATGCAGAGCCGCTGTCCCTGGCAGCCATCGTGGCCCTGGACGGGGGCAGGCACTGAGGTTTACCTGGACGTTTTGCGGCGTGACTGCCCGCTCCTGGGGGATTTCGTGGCGTCCTAAAGAATGAGAGATGGAAAATGAGTCACTGCCACAGGACCCAGCCAGTGGCCAGCACCATCTCCTGCCACACCAACCCTGCCTCGGCCCCAAAAGCCATGTGCCACCGCTCCAGGAGTCCCCACGGCATCCCACGGCACCGTGGCCAGACCACATCGGAAAGGCACCCTTCTGCTTTCCTCCCCAGCCCCTTGCCAGCCACAGGAACAAAGGCACAGTGCTGTCCCCACAAACATGGCACGAGATGCCACATGTCACGATAGCACCTAACATCACAACGGTCCTGGTAGAGCCGGGTGCTGCTGGAGCATCTCCTCCCTGACACACTGCGCTACACACCACTATGCCCCCAAAGTGTCGCTGTCTCCAAAACACATCGTGACCCTGCCGAGCATCCTGGCGGCACCAAAGACCCTGATGGCGCTGCTCTTCCCCCCCAGCCATGGGGACCAAACCCAGCCCATGCAGCCCAGCTGAGCCGGGCCAGCACTTTGGAGCGGACACGGTCACGGAGGGCCTTTTGAGGAGGGCATGGATGACAGGGAGACAGTCTCAAGCATGTCTTAAGTTCCTCTGGTCTCAGCCAGTCTCTGTGCATGCTCACCTGGCCCGATAGAGCAGCATTGTACCTGCCTGGCACCAGGAGAAGGGGCAGGTTTATGGCCTGGCAGGAAACGCTCGTTGCCTGAGCAGCGGTGAGGAGCCAGCGAGGCACGGTGGTTTGCTTTGGCCGGGGCTCTGCGGAGCCCAACGCCGGGAGGAAATGTTTCAGCTCTCAGAGCAGGAAACTTCTATTTATGCATGTTCTCCGGCCTCAAGAATTTCATCTGCAGCCGGTTTGTTCAGTGACTTTGTGACCTCAGCCGAAAAACAAAGCAGGGTTTCCAAAAAAAAACCGCTAAGGAAAAACACACTCACACCTCATTAGTTTTAGTATCTCCAGCTAACAAGCAGGAGTCATTTAAAGGCTCGTCTTGAGCAGGCAGCGCATCCTAATCCCCCAGAAGGATCCAAACCTGGTTAAACCAGATATGTGCCTCTCAGCTGGCTCTCATGGGTGCCTCTTCTACCACTGGAGCAACCCTGGAGCTGCAGGACCTGGGGGGCCACCGCCGGCAGGGCTGCAGTGCAGCTGCTTCAGGGCACAGTGTGGCAGTGGAGTCACACAACCAGCACACAGGAGCGCGGGAGGCGACGGGACAAGGTGGGAGAGATTTCCACGGCATCCTTCACCCGCTGCCTCTCATCCAGCCCAGTCCCTGGCTCCACGTCGGAGCCTCAGCCCCGGGGCTGATTTTCCCGCGTGCAGCCAGCGTCACCCCCTGCAGAGGCTCCTGCTTTCCATCAGCCTCGCGTTCCCCTTTCAAGGTCAGGCAGCTCGGCGGAGCACAGCTCGGCAGCCTGCAGGGCCCAGGGAGCTGATCCTGTCGGGATCCTATCAGCCGGCGAGGGCCGATGTCCTCCCTGCCCAAGGGAAAGCCGCGCCGGGAGACAGCGTCCCCGTCCGACTGTCTGGCGGGGTTCAGAGGCCAGCAATAATCCCCCCTCCCAGGTTCTCCCCACGGTGCCCCAAATCCCCTGCTCATCCCAGAGGTCCTCCAGCCAGAGGGGCAAAAAAGGAGTTAAAAACCAGCAAAAAGGGAGAGTAAAACCTCCTCAGGCAGAGTCAGGGCACTTGGAGAGGGGAGACAACGGAGCAACCCTGATTCCAAAAGCGGGCTAGTCCCTGCGTCAGCGGCGGCCAGGAGTGGCTCCCTGCCGCGGGCTGTGCTCTGCTCTAAGCCCTCGCAGCAGGAGACGTCTGGGGTCACCAGCACGCACCCGTCCAGCCAGTGGAGCCCCACGAGCCCCCTTTGCCCCATGCGCCTGGAACAGGGTCCCAAAACACAGCCTTATGTGACAGAGATGACAAGGGGAAACGGAATATTGCCCTCTCCCAGCTGGGGAAACTGAGGCACAGGAGAGTGAGGAAGGCTGGCACTCAAGAGCCCCTCCCCACCCCGCCTGCCCCCCGTGCCACCACGAGCCGCTCCCACGCGTGCAAACGGTGCCGACCTCCCCACGCTCACCCTACCTCGGCCATGGCGAGTCCCC